CACAGCAACCTCCAACTCCTGGGCTCAAGCGAGTTTCCTGCCTCCGCCTCCCAAGTAGCTGGGACTACAGGCGCCCGCCACAACGCCTGGCCATTTTTTTTTTTTTCAATTGCAGCCATCATTGTTGTTTGGCAGGCCCAGGCTGGATTCGAACCCGCCATCTTAGGTGTATGTGGCTGGCGCCTTAGCCGCTTGAGCCACAGGTGCCAAGCCAACAGTAAGTTTCTTTCAGAAAAATCTAAGACCTACATTCCAGGATCTGGAACTGGAATACAAGATCGGTGAGGGTAAATGAAAGTGGCTTTCGTTGAAACTAGCCGTCTTTAAGATTTATTTGATCATATGAGGAATGCTAGAGGGCAAAGGGATGATATTTTTTTCTCACATATTTGCCCATCAACTCTGTGAGTGGAAAAGCATATATGTACTTTAAAACTTCATTATTAAGTAAATGGAAGTATGTAAAAATTTCATATCTCATATTCATGTATTATTTCTTCGATCATTAACATAGGAATAATGGGAAACTTGGTGTAAAACGAAAGAGAATGTAAACATTTATGGCAAATCAGCTGCATAATGTAGAGGAATACTGATGAAACAAAATTCATGATAAAATGTTCAGAATAATTTTAAAAGGATTCAAAACCATATAGTATACAGTACAACTACACATGTATAGAAATAAGGCTAGAAGAATATAATCGTGGTTTTTCCAATCTAGCTAATATTTATTGAGTATTCTATGTCAATTACTCTTTACATTTTTAAATCCTCACAACCTAATAACCAGGCAGGTACTGTTATTTTCTCTATTTTTTACAGAGATACAGGAAAGTTAAAGGTGAAATTAGGAAGTCTAACACTAGGACTGATAATGCCCATTTAATAGGCTTGGGCAAGAGATGAACTTGCTAGGCCCTGAAAATAGGAAAAGATGAGAAATGGCACAAGTTTGGGACAAGATGGGGAAGTGATGAATTTACCTTTATACATGAAAGATTTAAGTGTGGATATCTGTCCAAGAAGTATTTGTGTCTGAAGAGAAAGAATGATCTGGAATCAAGTTAGATTTGTGAACCATCAGCAGGCAGATAATTTAATCTGTTGGAGTGAATATTACTCATGAAGAATGTGGCGAGTGAGAGAGCTTGGGGCAGAAGTAGAGGAAACCAGGAAATCAAAGAGGACTGAGAAGAAATAGAGAGGGTGGCACCTGTGGCTCAAAGGAGTAGGGCACCGGCCCCATATACCAGAGGTGCTGGGTATAAACCCGGCCCCAGCCAAAAAAACTACAGAAGAAAGAAAGAGAGAGATAGAAAGAAAAGCAGGATACTGTAATATTTTAAGATGTTTTCAGAGTTCGTGAAAGTAGGAACTATACCAGTCTTTTCACTCTTGTGTACGTGAGTCCTAGCCCCCTCAATTAAGATACGTTAAATAAATAAATGTATGATTAAATGGTCAGCAATTCAGATGCTATCAATGAAAGAAAGAAAGGGTGAAAAGTGCCCCCGCTATTTAGCAACAGGAAGATTTTTATGTCATTCCTGAGAGGATCAGCAGGGATATGAAGGCAAAAGCCATCCCACAGATGTTTGAGGCTATACTAGAAGTGAGGAAGTGAAAATAGGAGTTACGGGTAACTCCTGAAAAAGAGTGACTGAGGAGAAGAGATAGATGTGTGTAAAGAAAAGAGTGGCAAGGACTTAAATTAAGTTCTATACTCTCGTGTCTACACTGATCCTTTAGCAATAGCAGAGGTTTGATTATGTTCCATACACACAACTCCAAAATCTCTATCTCTAGCCTTAACCTATACCCCAAATTGATAAGTGTGTTCAATTTTTAATAATGACAAGGTCTTGCTCTTTCTCAGGCTGGTCTGGAACTCTTGAACTCAAGCAATCCACTGGCCTTGGCCTCCCAGAATGCTAGGATCATAGGTGTGAGTCGCTGCACTTGGCCTCTATTTTTTTTTGAGACAGGAGCCTCTAGCTATCCTGCTAGGTAGGGTCCTGTGGCATCATAGCTCACAGTAACCTCCAACTTCTGGGCTCAAGCGAGTCTCCTGCCTCAGCCTCCTGAGTAGCTGGGACCACAGGCGCCTGCCACAATACCCAGCTATTTTTTGGTTGCAGCCATCATTGTTGTTTTGGTGGGCGCGGGCTGGATTCGAACCCACCACCTTGGGTATACATGGCTGGAGCCTTAGCCACTTGAGCCACAGGCACCAAGCCTAAATTGACTTCCAATTTACTCTCCACTAGTCCTTTCTGTTGCCCTAAGGTTAAAACAAACCTTACAATTTCCTCCTCATATTCTAAGCTGCTCCTTAGTCTAGAAAGCCCTTTACCACTGCAATTTGCTTCAAATGTATTCATCTTCTGAGGTCCACCTAATCCACAAAACTTTTTTTACTAGATGTCTTACCACATGGAGTACATGTTAGATCACTGGCAGAGAGGTTCTTCCAGTTGTTTGGTTCCATAGGCCAATACGTTTGCTTTCTGTTTAAGCAAGTTTGTACTACCTAATTTCTCCCAGCTCATAGTTATTTCTTTCTCTAAAGTCATGGCTTTAATACCTTTTAACAGAAATGTACTTTTTTTTTGTTTGTTTTTGGTCGCGGCTGGTTTGAACCCACCACCTCTGGCATATGGGGCCAGCACCTCAATCCTTTGAGCCACAGATGCTGCCCAGAAATGTGCTTTTTATGTATCATCCCTTTATTATATTCTATTACTCTATAGTTGAGAGTGGGATTCATGATGTGTTTATTATTAACTGTAATAATTAGCGTTTGTTATTTTTGACTCCCTTTCCTCTTTCTTATGTAATAATTTCAATTTAGTTTTGTAGTTTCCTCATGGGACTATTAATCAAGATGCCCTGCCCTCCTCTGGCTAAAAGGGAAATAGAGAATGAAGAGGAAGCTTGAACCAAGATAAGTCAGTTCGAATTTGACTCATGAGCACAGTGATGAACACTTATTGGTTAAAGCTCGTTCATTGCAACAATGTTCCTGAATGACATGGTTCCCTAATTCCTGCTAGAGAGACCCAATAGGGGTATGTAGTTCCTCTTCTTTCAGGGGTGGCTTTACTTAGTTTGTGAACTACTCCATATACTGCTGATAAATAACTTTTTAGTTTAAATTAGCCTGTTTATTTCTATTCTTGTAAGAATATAATCTAGCTGACAATTTAATTTCCTGTTTATTTTATTTTTTTTTTGAGACAGGAGACTTAAGCTGTCACCTGGTAGAGTGCTGTGGCATTACAGCTCACAGCAACCTC